AAGAGCGTCAAATAAACACTTGATGTGCCTTTTCCATTTGGTCATTTGGTTTGAGCCTTCTAAGTAATTGTCATATGTATTATATATTTTTATATAGCTTCTTTTGATTTGGTATGATAATTGTATTATTGTTTATATATATATATTCCAAGAGCCTTGCTTCAGAACAAAGTCTTTGGAGATAAAATTGCTGTTTCTATTTGAAAACCTTCATATGCACAAATGAAAATTTGACCGAAAACTATAATTGAACCATCGTTGAGTGAGTTTCAATTGAACCACATAAATAGACGATTTAACGGCTAGACTAAAATGTAATGAAAATGAGAGTTTTTCACCCTTAAGATATGCTCTTATTTGGTGAGATTAAATATTTGAAGGTTGCCCGTCTTGAAAGAGATTAGAGAAAAATTAAGGAAGTTTGATGAAAGAATTGCAAGATTGTGCCATCATTCTTTATTCATCTACATAAAATGGATAGAGCAAAAACGACAGCGTAGCAAACAGATGGCAAACATACAAAGCCAAACTCATGAACAGTGGTGCACCCGCTTCACACCATAACACTTCCTTATTGACCAAAAAAAAAAAAAAAAAAACACACTTCCTTATGGAAGTTTTAAAACCTTAATCAACCGTTAAACCCCAAGAAAGAACCCAACTAATTTTTGCTTTTCAAATTCGTTCTCGTGACGCGCCTTCTTCTTTCTCTGCAACTATTATGATTTTCTTTTTCATTACAAATGTAATCGACAGAAAATAGTTTTCCTTCAATCTTCTGTGGCTCTTGTTGTATTTCTCCCTTTACTTTCTATGAATTTTATTAAAAAAGATTGGATTTTTCCTTGAGAAAGAGACCACATATAAATTTGTTATGTTAGGGTTTCTTTGGATGAGATTGAATTGCTGTGTGCAAGTTTCTTGAGGATGGAATGAACCCTTCTTCTTCTTTTGTGTGCCCTCTTGGTGTGTGATTAGATTCGTCTAAAGAATATGAACGGAAAGGCGATGAACCAAAAAGGGGAAATTTTTATGTACGGATAATCCAGATGGAAAGATTTGTGAGAAGAAGAAGAAGTAGAAGAAATGGAATAAGAAGAAAGGGAAGTTAGCTAAGAAGTCTGATCTCCCATGTGATGGTGACAAGAAACTTCCCATCTGCTCCCGTGATGGGTTTCCTGATCATACCCAGAACTGTTCATCAGTTGGTATTCAGAATTCTAATAACTGTTCAAAGATGAGCAACCATGGGTCTGATGAAGTAAGCAGTGATAGTTTTCTTGAGGATCTTCAGGTCAGCCAACCCTGCTGTACTTCAATGCAGCAAGGTCGAACTTGAAGATTCTAATTGTTTATACCAAAATGAACAGCCAATGAACGACAGACACGTGGCTAAACCATGGCCATTTAGTGCCTTCGGCACATACCTTCGGTAGAAGACCTACCGATCGCAACATTAGGGCAACCTCGCCCCTCTGGACGTGTGGCAGTCTCACAATTGACGCCCAGAATCCCACATCGAAACTCTAAACAAATTGCACACCTCCCAAGGCCTATAAAAGAGGACATCTATCCCAGCTTGAAGGTAATCAATCAGAACTTATGGCATACTGCCTATTGATCTGAAGTTCAAACTTATTTAATCCGTACTTACTTAAGCATCGGAGAGCCTTCGGCCGG